CGTATAAAGTAGAGAGAGAAAGAGTGGACATGTCATTGGACATCTTAAGACACATGGAAAAAGTGTCCTAAGACTCAGCAAAACATTCCAGAAACTTAGTTAAAGTTTCAGAATTGGAATATTCCCTACCGACAGCCCTTAGATCAATAAGGAGACAATTAAAATGTTTATGTACTTCAGACAGCGTTTCAGACTTTTCACATAGAAAGCTTTCATACTGCCTTACTAAATTGATCTTTCTGGTTTATTGAACCTAAGTGGTTTCTTCATATTGAACCCAAAGTATGTCCCACATGGATTTAGAAGTCTTGAGCTTCATCACAGAATGATAAATCTCGTCAGGAAGAGACATAACTATTATAGACCTAGCGCAAGTGTCTATAGCTATTTTCTTCTTGTCTTCATCACTCCACTGATGAGGAAGCTTTGGAATCTGCCGTTCAGGAATCGCGACTGTCGTAGTTGTTGCTGGAACAGCCGGAGCAATAGCAAATGGAATATATGGTCCATTTTCTATGTAATGTGGAATTTCAGGATCCACACCTTCAAGAAAAAGGGACATCCGGTTCTTCCAAAGACTAAAGTTGTCACGGACGAACCGGGGAGGTTTGGCAAGAGAGTCATTTTCTTTTTTGTGTGTGTGTTTGTAATTTGTAAACCCATTTAGAAGCAATAAAGTTATCTAGAGAAAGAGATAAACTAATGCAGAAAAACAGTTAAACAACTAAGAGAAGATAGAACATTGCTCTGATACCACTTGTTGGTCCCTTGAAGGTCTACAAGATAAGTAAAACAGTTTGTAGAAGGGGGGGATGAATACAAACACAATATTTTCAAATTTAAAATTTATATTGATAAAGAAGATCAATACAAATTTTACAAGACTGTTTGCGGAAAGATAAGGTTAGAAAAACCTATCTAAACAATCTTTGGTTACACACGAATCTTAGCAAAAGAGAAAAGAAATGCTGTAAAGAAAAGTTCTTTTACTTAAGCTAGGAAATGCTCAAAGTAAGAATTAGGTTAAGAGAGTGAGTTGCGCGCACTCTGCATGGAGAAGAAACACTTMTATTTATACYCAGTGCATTAAATGTYCATTTAATGCAAAATGGTAGGGTTAGAGTGTGTGTCAAGSCTTAAGAGGAAGGCTWATCCTTTGCTACAGTAAATAGTACAAAAAGCACTATTCATGAGCAGACATCCTTATCTAAAGTTGGTGGGCAATAGAGTCAACTAGTCTRCTTCGTACCGTACCAACGTTTACAARGGTATGGGTTTGTCCTTTGTGTGCATAAGGACAAGACAACAACAATCGTGCAAAGCAAGCTTCCTTTGATCGTTGAACGCTGRAATAACCTAGAGGTCTCTTCAGCATTCGCTGAGGCTTGAGCAGTCTTCACACATATGTAGACAGGCTTGTAATCACTTAGTACCGCTTCAGATCATGTACTTGCCAGTCTCTAATCTTCAGTTTCAGTCTTCAACATTAACTGAAGGTTCTTTGGTGTGARTGTTGTCTTCTTGAAGTATCGYTGTCTCTGATAGAATTACAATGCAAGTTCTTCAGCGATCACTGAACAGGCTCAGTGATGATCGTTGGAGCTGAAAAGACAGAWACATAAATACAACGTATAAGTGAAAAGGGATTATCATCAAATCACTGAGARAGAGGATCAACAAGTAGACATAGTGAGAGCAGCGTTGAATGGTCTTCACAAAATCCAATGACTCAAAAACTRAGGCATCATGCATATAAGTGTTATTTCACCTTCTTCATTAGGAGAGGATGACGWAGAGAAATTTGTCCATTTATGTTCTAGTCCAATTTTTTTTAAAGTTTGTTTTGACTCTCAGATACAAGATCTAGAAAATCTAGAGGATTGAAAGAAAGAAGGATAGGATACATTATCTCGGGAAGTAGAAATTAATGTAGATCTTATTTATGAAATTAAACAGCCTGCTCTGATACCACTTGTTGGTCCTGGAAGTGCTAATGACTTATATTACATGTGTTTGTAGAGGGAGGGGTTGAATACAAACATATCAAATTTTCACTTTTAATTTTTTGTTCTATATTTTGTACTACAAAGAATTACAGATKTGTTGCAGAAGTTAGAAATGTAAGATATTTGATCCTAAACTATCTGATTGATGACAAATTCGCTAAACTGAAAGAGAGGGGGGAAGAAAGTTCTCTTTCAGATCTGAAAAACTAAGATAGTCTTCATATATTATGGCACGGATATGAAAGAACAAGYTATCAATTATTCTTTGAAAAAATTGCATATGATCTAGAGACCGCCTTTTATAGCAATCCAAGAATGAAATGCAATGATGCAACTTCAACTCGTGTCTTTAATTGATTTCTTAATCCATGCACCATTGTACTCTTCATATTAGCCTTTTGTTATGATGTAGACATTGGTTGCTTCAATCCATCCTTCTGAATGCCGAGTGAATAGTAAAGCAAGAACCAAATAATACTTTGATACCTTTAAACTTGCTTTTGCTGACATACTGAGCATGTTCACATACTAGGACAAGTAGGGGTGCTCAAAAACTCGACCAATCCGACCCAAAAARTTGTAGAAAAAACCCAACCCGAGGTAACCCGATGCATGATTGATMAAAAAATCAKCCAACCCGAGTCTATCGGGTCGGAATTGGGTCACGACCAATAAAATACCGACACAACCCAGTAACCCGTGTGTGCCCTATAGTCCAGTACGATTACTTTTATGTTTATGWCTCACTTAGCAGCAAGCAACGCAACCACACACAAAAGATATTCAAGATCAAGAGAAAGGGTATCGATATAAAGCTTCAAAGGTATCGATTCACAACCTCAAAGGTTTTGATTCACAGGTTTCAATTTTGAAAGGTTTCGCTATTTTCCACAGGTTTCGATTTTGAATAACATGTATCGTTCTCTGCTTCCACAGGTTTCGATTTTGACTAACAGGCTTCTCTCTCTTCCACAGGTTTCAATTTTGACTAACAGGTTCGATTTTTTCCACATGTTTCAATTTCTTCCTACCTGGTTCGTAACACAAGTTCAAGTTTCGATTTTGACTCAACAATTTTGACTCAACAGATTATCGTTTTTTGTCTTCCTACCTATGTTACTTTTGAACTTTTGATGTTACTGTAAATTTTATGTTACTCTTTTGAACTTGTTTTTGTTCAGAACTCAAGTTTTTTTTTCCAGTTATTCTTGGTTATTATATATTTTATGTTACTGTAATGAACTTTTATGTTACTGTTTTGAACTTTTGATGTTACTATTGAGATCTGTATTGATGCTAATGCTAATGTTATTTGACTACTGAGTTATGTTATGTATTTATTTGGCTTCTTACTTCCTACAGTTCTAATGGAGGTTAATGTTACCCCAATATCTATTGTTGAAGAGATCAAATAAGAACCAAACACCGATAAAAAAAGGTCGGGTGGTAGAGTATCTGATGTTTGGGCTCACTTTGCAAAAGTAGAGGTGGAAATCCAAATGATCTAGGTGTGCTTGCAACTATTTTGGAAAACATTATGCTTGTGACAATAAGAAAATTTGCACAACTAGTGTAAGAAGTATCCGGGTAAGGAAACCAATAAAAAGCAWAAAGTACTTAGTTTTCAATGTGGTGGTGATAGTGTGAGAAATTTGTTTGGCCGTGACTTTTAATAAAGAAAGGTGTCGCAATGCCTTGGCTAGGTTTGTGGTGAAAGATGAACAACCTTTTAGWGTCATTGATGGTGAAGGGTTCAGAGAGCTTCTTCAAATCTTGGAACCTAAGTTTGATGTCCCTGTTAGAACGACTGTTAGTAGGGATATATCTAAGTTGTTTTGTGAGGAACATGYCAAGTTGTAGAAAGAGTTAACTAAGGGTGGGCAAAGAGTATGTTTAACCACCGATTGTTGGACTTCTTATACYAAAATGGCTTATATGTGCCTAACTGCACATTATTTTGATAGTGATTGGCATTTGCATAAAATTATTATAATTTTTGTCAAATTGAAAATCACAAGGGTGAGACARTTGGTAAGGTTATCGAGACTTGTTTGCTTGGTTGGGGATTAGAAAAAGTTCTTAGTGTGACTGTTGATAATGCATTTGCCAATGATGTGGTTGTTGGTTATGTAAAGAAAAGGATTAATGCATGGAAAGGCTTGGTTCTTGATGGTGAGTTCATCCATTTGGGATGTGGTGCTCACATACTAAATTTGGTTGTGGGTGATGGGTTGAAGAAGTTGCATGACTTAATCGTTGTCATTTGTAATAGTGTGAGATACATCCGATCATCTTCTTCAAGTTTACATAAGTTTGATGCTTGTGKTGAAAGGGGAAAGATCACTTACAAGGGTGGGTTGGTCTTAGACGTGCCTACAAGATGGAATTCAACTTTTATGATGTTAGACGTGGCACTTGAATTTGTAAAAGCTTTTGCAAGTTATGAAGACGRAGACGATAAGTATTTGAGTCACTTTCTAAAAGATGAGCATGGGAAAAAGAGAGTYGGACCACCTAGGAGTATTGATTGGAAGTGTGCTTCAGCTTTTGTTAAAATTCTCTCCACTTTTTATGAAGGTACTTTAAAGTTTAGTGCCACTTTGCATGTCACTTCTAACAACTTCTATCATCAGATTTRTGAGATCCATACACACTTGAATTCTTTGAGTCAAAGTAATGATTCTATATTATCTACTATGGCCAAGAAGATGAAGACTAAGTTTGAGAAATATTGGRGGGATCCACATAACATCAATCCGATGTTGTTTTTCTCTGTTGTACTCGATCCAAGGTATAAGATGAAATATTTGAAGTTTCTTTTTGAATGCCTTTATGGTAGTCAAAATGTTGCCAAGGTTACTATGAAGGTGGAACAAAACGTTAAAGTCTACAATATTGAGTTCGGAGGTGGTGAATAAAAGGTTAGTTAAATGTGTAATTTAATTTAATTTATTATGCATTTTAATATGTTCATGTTTGTTTGAGTTGTTGTTTACTTGTTGTATTTCCCTTTGATATGTATAGRTTACCAAAAATGACTCGTCAACGAGCAATGAAACTCATAAGAGGTCATTATTGRAAAATTATATGCAAAAACAACAATTGCAAGTGCCAAAGAAAATGAACGATCTTCAAAGATATTTGGTTGAAGAATATATCAATCTAACGACTACYRGATTTGATATTTTAATGTGGTGGAAAGTAAATGCTAGTAGGTATGCTATTTTATTTATGATTGCAAAGGATGTTCTTGCCATTCCCATGTCTATGRTGGCTTCCGAATCCGCATTTAGTACTAGCGGACATATTTTGGACTCATTTAGGAGTTCACCGAGTCCAAAAATGCTCGAGGCATTAGTGTGTACCCAAAGTTGGTTGAAGGTAAGTCACAGAGGGATTCAAACAAAGGAGTATTTRGATGAAACACAATCTTATTATTTTTTGGAGGAAGGTAAACACTGGACATGTTTTGGATTATTTGATCTATTTTCAATAAATTGTTAACTTTAGTTTTGGATTGTAGATGACATGACCAACCTCAAGGCCAAGAAAGCRAAAGYATCGGGGTGGAGACATCTAAAATAATTGTTGTTGATCTGAGTATTATCATTTGGTTTAAAGATTTTTWTTGTAATACCTAAATATTTAATGATCTTGCAYATTATCTTGAATGATCAATCGTGTTTCAAATGAAGGTTTTGTAGCATACACTTTCACAAATACGTTGCAATTATCTCCTTTAT